ATGACCCATTTTACGTAGATTAGCTCCTAAATGATCCATTTTACCTACGTTAGCTTTAAAATGACCCATTTCACCTAGGTTAGCTCCAAAATGACCCATTTCACCTAGGTTAGCTCCAAAATGACCCATCTTACCTAGGTTAGCTTATAAATGATCCAGTTTATCCAAGTTAGCTCTAAAATGACCCAATTTACCTAGAGTAGCTCCTAAACGATCAATTTCACCTAAGTTAGCTAAAAACGATCCATTTCACCTAAATTAGCTCTTAAATGATCCATTTCACCTAAGTTAGCTCAAAAACGATCAATTTCACCTTAGTTAGCTAAAAAAACGTGGCATTTCACCTTAGTTAGCTCATAAACGACCCATTTCAACTAAGTTAGCTCATAAATGATCCATTTCATCTAAGTTAGCTAAAAAACGATCCATTTCACCTTAGTTAGCTCAAAAATGATCCATTTCACCTTAGTTAGCTCATAAACGACCCATTTCAACTAAGTTAGCTCATAAATGATCCATTTCACCTAAATTAGCTCATAAATGATCCATTTTACCTAAGTTAGCTCAAAAACGATCCATTTCACCTTAGTTAGCTCAAAAACGATTCATTTCATCTTAGTTAGCTCAAAAATGATCCATTTCACCTTAGTTAGCTCAAAAACGATGTCCTTCACCTTAGTTAGCTCATAAACGACCCATTTCAACTAAGTTAGCTCATAAATGATCCATTTCAACTAAGTTAGCTCATAAACAACCCATTTCAACTTAGTTAGCTCATATATGATTCATTTCACCTAAGTTAGCTCATAAATGACATATACTTCTTGTTCTAGTCTTCTTCTTGTTCTATTCACCTATTTCTAACTTTCTTATTTACCATTTTGCAGATTTCACTCACTTCATGGAAGTTAGCTTCCTATGATGGAGTGCTTGCTTTTTCTTTGCTAAAACTTTGCATTGTATCTAGCTTGCTATGATAGAACTTGCTATGTTGATGAAACTTTGCTATGTAATATGTATATGGAACAATGTGTATGGATGGAACTTGATGGAACTTGTTGTGTTGATGAAACTTTGCTATGTAATATGTATATGGAATTATGTGCTGGATATGTGATATGTTTGTTGTTAAATATATCTATATATATCATATATATTTGCTGTGAAAATTGTTGGATTAAAAAAACAGAAAAAGAGACAATATGCAGGCTCTTTGCCGTCTGTCACTGACGGCAAAGGGCTCTTTGCCATCAGCAGCCGACGGCAAAGAGGCCACGTAGCAGGCAACTGTGCTTCCTGGGAGGCTGACCAATTTGGCCAGTTTGCCTACAGTGACTGACAGCAAAGGCTTTGCCGTTGGCGGCGGACGGCAAAGAGTAAAAACTTTGCCTACAGTGGCGGACGGCAAAGGCCTGCCGTGTAGTGACGTCGGCTGACATCATTCGGCGGGCGACAAAGGCCTTCCGAAGTTTGCCGTCAACGGCGGATGGCCAAGGCCTGCCATTAACCACCTAACGGAGTAACATCGCATTTATTGCCGTCTGCACTCTTTGCCGTCCGCTGCTGATGGCAAAGACCCCTTTGCCGTCAGCCGCCCGAAGCAGACGACAAAGTAGCTCTTTGCCGAACCTTACTTTGCCGTCCCCTTTTGCCGTCCACGGCAGACGGCAAAGACCTTTGCCGTCAGCCATCCATGCCTTTGCCGTCTGCCGTGGCAGATGGCAAAGTAGCTGATTCCTGTAGTGAGTAATCTTTTCACATGATATTTCATATTCTGTGTATCCGTGGCAATGCACGGGCATTCAACTAGTATTTTCTAAATTACAGTTCATAAATATTATTTTGGTTACACAAACGTTCGAATAATTACATGCACAATTTTATGTTTAATAAGTATATTGTTTAAGAATGTTTTAATAATATCAAAATATTCATAAATATGCAAAAAAAATCACTACCGACTATATTTGAATTATATAAAATTACAAATATATGACACAATGAAAGTTATACACATGTGAATATTAATAAAAATTATATTAATAATTTTGTGTAATTTAAGCATAAGCCAAGAGTGTATACTAATTCTTTTGAAAATTTACTAAACAAATAACTATTTTTATAATTGTTTTTGCATTTACTAAATAATTTAAATTTTTTATTTGCTAAAATCATTAACTTTAATTCACATGTAGATAACCGAATCTTTTTCAAAATTACATGATTTTTTAATATTTAATTTTATTTGTAAGTATAATATTTGAAATGTGTTTTATTATTGTGATTATAATTTAGAAACTTCTTACAAATTTCTAAAAAAAAACTAACATGCGTAAAATGGGCTGCACTGACTGTTGCCCATTAAAACCCACGAACGTGTTTTTACCTAACAGTAGGGACTGTTATCCCTAGCATCCTCTACAAAACGAATGGCCTATTGGCTTGCATTATGTGCTCGCTAGCGCGTGCTCGCCTGTTCGACTCCCAGCGCCCACCATTTCTTAATGGCACAATTTTCCCATTGTATTGTAGGTAGGACCCATGGGCCATAGAGAGATTTTCCCATTGTATTGTAGGTGGGACCCATGGGTCATAGAGAGATATGATATGCATCATGCTGGCGTGCTAACCAAAGTGCCACGTCATCATATTTTATGTCTACTAATGGGATTAGCACTGTATTCGCACACTCGTGCCAAGTTTTATGATCAGTTTGGTGTATTTTTCAAGTTCAGATACTAAAGTGAACATCGTTGACAAGTTTAAGCACCACATGTGTATTTACCTCATTGAAAAATTGGGGTAGATGGAGGTGATGGTGTTGATGTATATGGTGATGGTGATGATCATCACAATGATGAATAGAGTGTTGGTAATGATGACCATCTTATTCAGCGAGTCCCACGTCATGCTGGCGTGCTAACCAAAGTGCCACGTCATCGTATTTTATGTCTACTAGTGGGATTAGCACTGTATTCGCACACTCGTGCCAAGTTTTATGATCAGTTTGGTGTATTTTTCAAGTTTAGATACTAAAGTGAACATCGTTGACAAGTTTAAGCACCACATGTGTATTTACCTCATTGAAAAATTGGGGTAGATGGAGGTGATGGCGTTGATGTATATGGTGATGGTGATGATCATCACAATGATGAATAGTGTTGGTAATGATGATGGCTTCGAATTCCCCTACTCAGAGGGATGGAATTCGTTTGCGGAAGGTGAAAAGTGCTCCCCTCGTATGTAATTAGGGGTTTCGGGGTAATATAGAACCAGGGGTCCCGGGAGGTAGCCGAGAGGTGCCCTATGGGCCCCACACACACCCTATTGGCATGGCCCAAGGGCTGGCCATGTGGTGGGGCCGCATGGGCCCCATAGGGATCTCCCCAAGTGGGCTCAGCCCCTGGCTCTCTTCCCGCATGAAAACTTCTCTAGTATTTTTTTGTCTAAAAAAAACTTCTCTAGTATTTTTTTGGTCTTCAAAATAAATAAATTCTTCATTGTTCCTGTTTTGGTGCTTTTCTATAGCTTTTCCGACATCTCCCCTCCTCCGGTACAATATGCAATATAAGAGGAAAAAAGGTATATGATTGGTGTGATAATGCAGAAATCATCAATAAAAATGAGCAAATTATACTAAAGAAATATGATGCAAAATGGATGTACCAGGCCCCATTGCTTGTCCTTGGATTCGAAGGCCGTCGTGGACATGGAGGATTAGAAGAGAAATAGAGAGAAGGAGCTCGCTGATCGGGTTCGACCTCATCATCAGAGGCCTTCAACGTTGTGCAATTAATGGCGTCCGCAACCTGGTTGATTGCAGACTTTAGCCAACCTTTCCTTCAAATCGGGTTGACCTCGTTCTCCGGCATGCTTGGCTGCAAGAGGCGAAGCTATAGAGGCGCCATCATCCCAAGTGACATATTCCCTAGTGACGGTGAAGTTGCAGCTGAGCGGAAGTGGATGAAAAGATTGAACCATGAAATGATCCAAGAGTCCAACACATATACTATCCATGCATGACAACACAAAAAAATTACTTAAATGTTAAAAAAAATGATGTTAGCCTTTTGAGCATGAGCATGGCAAAGCAAATGTTTTCATAGGGCAGTTTATATCGAGGGTGACAATTTCAGTTAGCAAGCACAGCAAAACCTGACAAAAAACTGAACATGGCGGATTTTCCACTCTTGCTAAAAGAAATTGCTATCCTCAAGATAACATAATTTGCCATAAAAAATATTCGTTCCGACATAATAAAAAAAATCTGACATTCATTGGTTATCAAAATCCAAAAATTAATGGAAAAACATAACTGACATGCATGACTTGTTGATGTGGCATGATTGCATGGATAGATTAGTGAAAAAGAAAATTATGGCTAACATGCATGATTTGTTGATGTGACATTGCTACATGGATAGAAAAAAAATAGATAGTAGGTTTAGGAATAGAGGATTCCATGTTTATATCCACATTCCGTGGCCGTACCAGCTTACGATATGTCCACACCTTTTTTTCCTTTCTAGAAACAAGCATTTGGTCAACTTAAAAAAATAAACAAGTGGCGGTGACCACTGACCACCGCACCGGAGACCATCTTAGCTCACCTCAGGTTACAATACTGGTCAGTCCATTTGACCAACTAGTGACTACGCTGAGTCGCTGGCGCAGCGAACAAAAGTAGGCTGTGAATCTTGAATTGCGGCAGCAAATCACCACATGCCAACGATAAATCTCGTGCAAATCCACACAAAAAAAAGTTGATAAATCCGTGGGCAAAAAAGTACTTTTCCATTGCAAACTTTCCCGGTCCCTTCCTCTGCTTCGGAGCACCCAATCAGCCCAAGAACAGTCAAAACACCCCGTCTTGGGCTCTGGGCGACCGGCGAAATGCGTATATACAGTGCTCCTCCAGCCCCGGGGACAGGGAACCACACGGCACAGTGCAGGCTGGGTTCGTCGAGCACACCAGCAACGCAACCAGTAGCTGCCAGGAAATGAACGCGACAGCAGAAGCTCGTAGTGGAGAAGGAGCACGCCACGGCGGCGAGCAAGAAAAAGATGACCAGACGGAGAAGAAGGTGTCGTTGCTCGGCATGTTCAGGTACGCCGACAGTCTCGACGTGCTGCTCATGGTGGTCGGCTCGCTGGGGGCGGTGGGCAACGGCGTGGCGGGGTCCCTCATGCTGGTCGTCTTTGGAGACGCCATCAACTCCTTCGGCGAGAGCACCACCAGCACCGTCCTCCCCGCTGTCACCAAGGTGCGCCCCAGCTTACGGTGATCAGATCGCTTAACCTGAAGATTGGCTAGACGAGTTAACCGAGAATGTTCTTTTGATCTCCAGGTTGTTCTCAACTTCGTATATCTGGGCATTGGGATAGCAGTTGCTTCCTTTCTTCGTAAGTGCAGCTCCCATTCTATTCTTGGAATACATGTTTCCTGTCATTGAAAATTTAGATGTCAAGCAATAGTACACAGGAAAAGATAGTAATACATTCAGTACATACCACTCTCAATTAGACTTAACCACAGAGGATTGTTTTTCTTTTTCCTTTTCGAAGAGGAAGTTTAACCCTCGGTCTCTGCATCATCGCTAACAACTATACCTAAATGCAGAGAATAATTAACAAGGTTATATAATATCAGATGGAAACCAGCTTCTCCGCGAAAACTCAAAACTCCATCAGAAGAGTACTCTATAAACTTGTAAATTTTCACATCAAACTCAACTGCAGTTCAAAGATACAAAATTCACAAGCAGTGAGCAATGAAACGAAACAGTGATGTGCACCACATTTGCGGTCAGACGTTTAGTCAGATATTGGGTGAGCTTTGTTGTTTCCACCTCCTTCTCGGTGTCATCTTTTTAAGACAAAATGATACACACTTTGGTGCATGATCAAGAAAAAAAAACAGTGTAGGAGACACAAATTTGTTCTTGCTTGGGTGAGGAATGCAATCGTCAATTCGTTATCAATTATCATGTATCCATTCCATGAGAAGTACCAACTGCATTCCTAAAAACTGAATATGTCTGGTTAAATTTATGCTAATGGCAAAGAAGTTACCCCACTATAAAAGGCTCACCCTTCATTATCTTCCAGAGATGTCATGCTGGACAACGTCAGGAGAAAGGCAGTCAGCCCGCATCCGTTCTTTGTACCTGAAATCAGTTCTGAGGCAAGATATTGCATTCTTCGACACAGAAATGACAACTGGTGAAGCAGTTTCTAGAATGTCTAGCGATACGGTCATAATTCAAGATGCTCTTGGTGAGAAGGTAATACTTCCTCTGTAGTACTCCCCCCGTCCTAAAATTCTTGTCTTAGATTTGTCTAAATACGGATGTATCAAGTCACATTTTAGTATTAGGTACATCCGTATCTAGATAAATCTAAGACAATAATTTTGGGACGGAGGGAGTACTAAATAAGGAAACATAGTATTTTTCATCACACTGCAAGTGTGCGCAGATCTGCAGGTGCAAGTCAATGACAAGCATCAATATTTCTATTGCTACTGCATAAGCTTTTGTGTTACTCACCTAAGTGTATTTCATACTTCATACATTCTATGCAGCCCATCCAGTGCTACAAGTGCTGACATTCCTGCATTCTGATTTACAGGGAGGGAAGCTTGTACAAGCCATATCTGCCTTCTTTGGGGGTTTTATCATAGCATTCACAAAAGGCTGGCTCCTGACTCTTGTCATGCTAACGTCACTACCATTAGTTGCTCTCGCTGGTGCAGTGTCTACACAGCTGCTAACCCGGGTTTCTAGCAAGCGACTAACATCGTATAGTGATGCTGCAGACACAGTTGAACAGACAATTGGATCTATACGAACAGTGAGTTCAAATTATATTAGTCATTCGAAATTATATCAATTATCTCAACTAATACAAATGATAGCAAACATTAATTTAGCAACCCTCGTGTAATCAGGTTATATCCTTCAATGGAGAGAAGAAAGCTATAGAAATGTATAATAAATTCATAAAGAAAGCCTACAAGACTGCTGTTGAGGAAGGCCTTGTCAATGGTTTTGGCATGGGCTCCTGTCTTCTGCATCATATTTAGCAGCTATGGTCTAGGGTTCTGGTATGGTGGAAAGCTAATCATTGACAAAGGATACACTGGAGGGAAGATCATCACTGTTTTGTTTGCCGTAATGTCTGGCGCAACGTGAGTTTCTGAAACCTCAACATTGCAAATACCCTGAAATCTTAATATTTGCCGTATATAATCCTCAATTTATCGAAGGACGTCTTGAATGAATGGAAATATAAAACATTACATAATAAAATTTAAAATTCTAAATAACCTTTTTCTTATGCATGACTTGCGAATACATATATTAGGAACTTTCCATGGAAGTTTGATGTTCCTTTCAAGGTGTGTTCAGAGATTACCTTTAGAGAGTTAACATTTGCTTAACAATTCATGTTTAGTGGTAAATAATGTCAATTGGTATGAGCTCAAGGCTAATAATTTTGTTATAAATACAAATGGCCCACGAGATTCAAGGTGCCTCCTTCCCTTTGAGGGAAAAAGAAATCAAACAATAATCCTAAAAAGTATCTACCATAAATTCAAAAGAAAAATAGAATGGGGTACATTTCTACTTTTTGGGATCAGATTATATATAAAAAAATTCTCTAAAAAAATCAACCCAATCGACCACACGAAGCACAATTTTGAACCAGATGTAAATTGCAACTATTGCACCCTCACAGCAGGGTGCCATGAATCCTGCGGAAGTTATAACGGCAATCGCTAGATATTGTCGAAGCTACTTGAAATAGCAACCATTATGTTTGAAGTATTAAATTAACATTTTGTCAAACAATAAATATGACAAGCTTATATATTGAATATAACACTATCAGTAGATGGATTATTAGTTGATTCACATTTTCAGTAGATGGATATAATTCATCGAATAACCAGCTTGCAACCCTCTGCAGTACGCTAATTATTCTATTTACATTGCTCTATCTTCTTATGTTACCTCAGCAGAGCATACCTATATGAAGTACTAGTAGTTCCTAAACTGTACTTCATGACAAGAAATAGAAAAGGTGACCATTAAACATGTTATGTTAATGTCGTAAACCTGGCGCTTAAATTTTTGTAACAGTTCATTAGGTAATGCAACACCATCAATTTCTGCAATTGCGGAAGGTCAATCTGCAGCATACAGACTGTTCGAAACAATAGAGAGGAAACCTGAAATAGATTCAGATGATATGAGTGGCATGGTCTTGGAAAATATCAAGGGTGATGTTGAGCTAAAGGATGTGTACTTTCGCTACCCTGCAAGACCTGGGCAGTTAATATTAGATGGATTATCATTACAAGTAGCCAGTGGAACAACAATGGCCATAGTTGGAGAGAGTGGAAGTGGCAAGTCAACTGTTATCAGCCTTGTTGAAAGATTCTATGATCCACAGGCTGGCGAAGTTTTGATAGATGGAGTCAACATCAAGAATCTGAGTCTTGATTGGATAAGAGGGAAGATCGGCCTTGTTAGCCAAGAACCATTGTTGTTTATGACCTCCATTAAAGATAACATAATCTATGGTAAAGAAAATGCAACACTTGAAGAGATCAAGAGATCAGCCGAGCTTGCAAATGCAGCAAATTTCATCGATAAGTTACCAAATGTATGTAAATAAAGAGTGAATGCTTCAAATGACTTATTGGAATTTAAGCTAACAACATTTTAATTTCATATCAGGGCTACGATACATTGGTTGGCCAACGTGGCACTCTACTTTCTGGAGGACAAAAGCAAAGAATTGCAATTGCGAGAGCCATCCTTAAAGATCCAAAAATCCTTTTGCTAGATGAAGCAACAAGTGCATTGGATGTGGAATCTGAGAGGATAGTTCAGGAGGCAATCAATAGGATATTGGTAGAAAGAACCACACTTGTCGTTGCTCATCGTTTGAGCACTGTAAGGAATGTTGACTGCATCACGGTCGTTCATCAAGGGAAAATAGTCGAACAAGGTTAGAATCTCTTGAATATGCATTAATTTTCCCATTCTATGATATGTTTATTGTCAACCTATGATGATTCATTCACCACACAAAAATATCCTATATGTGCAGGTCCTCATCATGCATTGGTAAATGATCCCAATGGAGCTTACTCCCAGCTTATTAGGCTACAAGAAACTCGTGGTGATGAAAGACGTAAAATAAAGGATTCGGAAGTGCCCAATTCCTTATCAAAAAGCACTAGTTTGTCAGTTAGACGGTCAATGACTAATGTTTCTTTTGGCAATAGCAACAAACACTCCTTCAAGAACACATTAGGACTATCAGTTGAGTTGCATGAGGATGCAATCACAGGTGAACAGAACAATGAGGACCTTCCCGATGGGAAGACCCTTCAGAAAGAAGCAGTTGGACGCCTTTTTATCTTAACAAGCCGGAGGTACCATTTCTTCTGCTCGGCGCTATAGCGGCATCAGTGCATGGAGTCATTTTGCCATTGTACGGCCTACTAATGTCTGGCGGCATAAAATCATTCTACGAGCCACCAGATAAGCTGCGAAAAGATTCTAGCTTTTGGGCATTGATATTTGTAGTTCTGGGGGTTGCATCTTTCATTGCAATCACAGCAGAATATCTTTTGTTTGGAATTGCTGGTGGCAAGCTTATAGAGCGTGTTCGTACTCTATCATTCCAAAATATTGTGCATCAGGAAGTTGCTTGGTTTGATAATCCCTCAAATTCCAGGTACCATATTCAAATGATCTCAGTTATTTTATCTTCTTGTGCATAGATATACAGAGATACTAAGATTTTGCTTTATCACTTACAGTGGTGCACTTGTGCACTTGGTACACGACTCTCAGTTGACGCATTAAATGTTCGGCGCTTAGTAGGAGATAACCTGGGCCTTATAGTGCAGTCTACAGCTTCATTAATCGCTGGCTTTGTCATAGCGTTTACGGCGGACTGGAGGCTTGCACTGATTATCACTTGTGTCATTCCTTTATTGATTGCACAGGGCTATGCTCAAGCGAAGTTCTTGAAGGGGTTTGGTGAAGAAGCTAAGGTGACACACAACAACTCTAAAATTTATTTCATGTTTGTTTCAGGGTGACAATCCTAACACCCTAGAATCAATTATCACAATAATGTGATCATGATATTATTGTGCAGGAGATGTATGAAGATGCAAGTCAAGTTGCAACTGACGCTGTTGGTAGTATCAGAACGATAGCATCTTTCTGTGCAGAGAAAAGAGTGGTTACAACATATAATAAGAAATGTGAAGCTTTAAGGAAACAGGGAATTCAAAGTGGAATCGTTGGAGGGCTTGGTTTTGGTTTCTCATTCTTGGTGTTGTATTTTACGTTTGCTCTATGCTTCTATGTTGGTGCGCAGTTTGTACGTCAGGGAAAAACTACTTTTGCAGATGTTTTCAGAGTAAGAATTGCTAAATCATTTCAAGTAACTATTTGTATATGAGAATTAACTTTTAATAATCGTTCACAAATTTATTGATTTTTTTCAGGTTATCCTTGCCTTGTTTTTTGCAACTTTTGGGGTTTCGAACGCAAGTGCATTGGCATCTAATGCGACAAAAGCAAAAGTTTCAGCCATTTCTGTTTTCAGTATTCTAGATCGGAAGTCAAAAAACGATACAAGTAGCGATGAGGGCATGATGCTGGAAAATGTCACCGGCGACATTGAATTCAGTAATGTCAGTTTCAAGTACCCATCACGCCCTGACGTCCAAATATTCAGTGACTTTACTTTGCACATTCCTTCCAGAAAGGTATGATTTGCAATCTTTTGTAGTCTTGTTTAATTGTCGCGCCCAATTGTTTTCATTCGGATAACTAACTTTATGTGCCACCTCTTAGCATAAAACCAAGAATAATACTTAAAATAGGTGATGCATGATCTAGTTACAGTGTTATCATATATAAGAAGCTTTCAGCTGATTAATTTCACATATGATGATTGACAACCACAAAAAAATGCTATGTTGAAACCTTTTCCTTCCCTTTTCAGACCATAGCACTAGTTGGAGAGAGTGGTAGTGGAAAGTCCACAATAATTTCTTTACTGGAGCGTTTCTATGATCCTGATTCTGGTAGTATCTCAGTAGATGGAGTCGAAATTAAGAGCTTGAGAATTAGCTGGTTAAGGGACCAGATGGGGCTGGTAGGCCAGGAGCCAGTGCTTTTCAACGACACAATCCGTGCAAACATAACAAATGGGAAACACGGGGAGGTGACAGAGGAAGAGGTTACAGGTGTGGCCAAGGCAGCAAATGCTCATGAGTTTATATCAAGCTTGCCACAGGGATACGACACTCTGGTTGGCGAGAAAGGAGTGCAACTATCTGGTGGACAGAAGCAGCGGGTAGCCATCGTAAGGGCCATTATAAAGGACCCGAAGATACTACTGCTTGACGAGGCGACCAGCGCCCTCGACGCGGAATCGGAGCGCATCGTTCAAGATGCATTGGATCGAGTCATGGTGAGCAGGACCACCATAGTGGTGGCGCACCGCCTCTCCACAATCAAAGGGGCTGATGCAATTGCGGTCCTCAAGGAAGGCAAAATTGCAGAAAAGGGAAATCATGAGGCCCTGGTGCGGATCAAGGATGGAGTCTATGCTTCGCTAGTAGAACTTCGCTCAAATTCTAAGTAGAACTGTGTGTATTTGTCATTCATTATTTTCCTTTTGATTCTTACGACATCTGTTTGTTCCTAGTACAATTATTTTGCCAGGCAATACAGTGATTTGTGATTTGAGCAGTGGATACAAGAAGTTACCCGTATGCAAGCCGACATCAATAAATAATTGCTTTTAAATAGTACTACCAACTAAAAACTGCAGCAATGTTGGTAGTCTATAGAAGAAACGCCTAGAGACAGAGGGAAACAGGATATCGAGCTCTGCCCCTTAAAGAAAATCTAGATCTGAGCCTCTACAGCTCTATTTCACAAAAACTGCAGGTTCTACGCAAAGGATTCGCACGCAGCAGTAGGGATAGTCGTCTTGCGGCATACCAAATGACTACGAACACACAAGGTTACTTGGAAAGAGCGACATTGGCTAAACTGATAAACGCGCCTGCCTTTGGGATGCGCGCGTTCTGAAACGGGAAGACCCAGAATCCATGCAAATTTTGGAGCATCGAATACCTCTGGGCCGGCCGGCGACCGCGCTGCTGCCGTCGGCCGCGCCGCCATCTTCACCGTCGAGTTCCTTTTTTCCCGAGGGCATCTCTCTTTTCTGGTTTGTGCTGCTGGGGTGGGCTGGGCTAGGGCCGAAATGGACTTGCATAACTTAGGGCATCTCTCTGGTCCTAAACCGGTTAAAGGAGTAAAAATATTAGCCTGAAATCTAAAAAGCGGCCGGCCACTAAATAGACAGAACGAGCGGCCGAACGAGAGCCGCTCGATCTCGCCCCGATCGACGCCGCGCGGTGTCCAGGTGTCCCCTGGTCGGGAGGTGGGGCCGCGCCGCTCAGACCCGCGTGTGGACCAGTCGGCTGGTTCGATTTGCGCCGCGCCCGCGAGATAAATCGTCCGTGGGACCCACATGTCATCGAGGATTAGGCAGTTCTCCAGCGTTTTAGCCGTCGTGCGTAGTGGGCGGCGGTTTCGAATTTCGTGCCATTACCCCGTCCACCCCCACCTCTCGCCGCCCATTCCTCCACTTTCCCCTTTGCTTTCGCCGTTGGTTGGTGCTCGGAGGCGGTTCCAAATCCGCTGGGTTGTGGTCGACGGCAGGGCGCGCCGCGAGGGTCGTCGTCCGCGGCGGCTCTGGTACTGCTCCTACGCGCGCTCCTCGTCTTCGTCCCTGCTTGTTTCTCCACTCGCCCGTCCTCCTTTTTCCGATGAGGTCGCTCGTTTTCCGGTGAGGTCGCGGTCGTTGTCAGGGAGGTCGAGGTAGAGGTCGAGGTCGCGGTCGGGGTTAGGGAGGTCGAACTCATTTTCCGGCGAGGTTGAAGTCACCCCAGCGGACTACTTCGTTTGGGAAACCGCCGGATTGGCAGGGATGGGTTAGGGTTGTGCTCATCCTGTCGTTTTTGAGTTGCAGTAGGGGGTGAGCTCGTGCATATGGTTCAGGGAGGATGAGTGGTTCGCGGCGATAGTGCCTCTTCTGTGGATTGAAGCCTCGCGGTGGATCTGGTGTTTTTGATGAGTGTTTTCCCCCGCGGTGTGCAACTCTGTCGCCCCTTGCGTGCAAATTAGGAGCAGCAGTAGACAATTTTTGAGATAATATAGCCAATCTGCCAGCCTTCTGGTGGTTCTCGTGGGTCATGTGCAAATTAGTACCTGTGCAAATTAGGGACCATTACCTGTGCTAACCAACTAAGAGGGTGAAACTTGTATCACGGCCACTTTTTAGTTGGTAGACACTTGTGTTCCAGTTGCACAAAATTCTATCCAGTTGGCTTCATTCATATAGTAGTTGGCTGTCCCTATGTTCTGCAGTTGCACCAATTTTTTGCTAGTTGGGTTTCTACATACTGTTCAGTTGCACAAGTTGCCTGCTCAGTTGGCTACATCACTTTTACTAGTTGGCTGTCCATATGTTCTACACCTGCACATGATTCTTTAGTTATTCTGTAAGTTGTATTAGATGTGCGCAATGTTGTGTGCAATGCATTGGCTGATTTCGTAGTTGGTGTTCAGAGATTTAAGTGGTTAGTTGCACAAAATTCTCCTCAGTTGGCTACGTCCATATAATACTTGGCTGTCCATATGCTCTGTAGTTGCAGCAGTTGTTTTGGTCAGTTGGCTCACTATTTTTGTGTGCAATGCATTGGCTGATTTCGTAGTTGGCGTTCGGAGATTTAAGTGGTTAGTTGCAAAAAATTCTCCTCAGTTGGCTGCGTCCATATAGTACTTTGGCTGTCCATATGCTCTGCAGTTGCAGCAGTTGTTTTGGTCAGTTGGCTCACTGTTTTTGTACTAGGTGGTTGTCTATACTGTGTTCAGTTGCACAAGTTGCCTGCTCGGTTGGCTGCATCACTTTTACTAAGTTGGCTATTCATATGTTATACAGTTGTGCCAGTTGCTCTACTTAGTTGGTTTTACTTAGTTGCATATGTTATACACTTTTACTAGTTGGCTGTTCCCCCCTCTGCTGTGTGCAACTAGGGACTCTTGTTTGTACATTTATAGCACCAATGCTTGCCAATTTTCCAATATAATCTACCCAATCCACCAGCGTTGTGGTGGCTGTGGTGGTTTATGTGTTATTCTCCTGCTTTTGTGCAACTAGGACCCCTTGATTTGTGCAAATTTAGTACCAATGCTTGCTAATTTTCCATTTTAATTTTTCTCAATGTGCAAGTCTTTTGTTGTGGATGTGGTTGTTTTCATGTGTCTCCCTTCATGTTCAACTATGGACGCTTTTTTCAGAATAAGTTATCTCACTGAGCTTGTTGCCTTTACTTAACTTTTTTCTGTCTAGGTATTACTTGTCACAGTTGGCAAGTAACAATTAGGCAGAAAAAAGTTAGTTGGCTTATTTGATGTCCAGTTTGCACAAGGTTTACTGCCCAGGTGGCTGCATGATTGTAGTAGTTGGTTGTCCACATCTTCTAACTATGTTTTTTTGTTGTATTTCCTTCCGCAGGGCAAAAATGGTTATAATAGGAGGAGATGCGGGTGGCAATGAAGGAGATGTATTTTTATTCACTTTTTTTTCTTTTGTTTTTGAGTTGTTTTTCAACTTATGCATGTATGCTAATGTCTTTTTTTCATGTTTTCTTTTGGTTGCTTAATCAGCGTTCTGGAAGTCAACCTCTTCGCCGGAACTCGAAGCGTCCTGCTAATCGCCAGCCACGACTTGCGCAGAATGTTGAGCAGGGAGAGGATGTTGAGGTAAGTGGCATGTTGATGACACAAGTCCATTTTTTGGTTTTGTTTGGGTCATATAACATTTTTTTTATTTTTTCCCATGCTCATGTTTTTTTCTTAGGATGCTGATCAGTTCCGTGTTGTAAAGCGGACTAGACGTGCAGCACTTGGCAAGGGAGCTGAGTCATCTTCTAGGGTAAGTAAAATCTCAAATATAAGTGTTTTTTCTCGCCTTTTTTTAGATAGTGATGAAATTATGCAGCAGTTTGGAACACTATTTTTTGTTTTTAGTCTGTCAATAACAACCTTTTGTAGTTGACATCTCTAGTCATTTTGATTTAAATACAGTTGACATTAGTTGGCATTAGTTGGCATCTTGTAGTTCACTAGTTGGCATGTTTTCATAGTTGACATCAGTGGTCATTTTTTTGTGCAGGCAGCAGTTGCTGGAGAAGCTGTCGCATCTTCCGCAGCAGATGCTGAGGTATGTGGGTTTTTTGTGTTTTTATGAGCTATTTGAATAGTTCTTTGCAAACCTTTTTTTTTAGTTACTGTTTTTCTTGTGTTGCAATATCATTTCTTATTGTTGCACATACACTAGAACTTTTTGTAGCTGCCAGGTCTCGTTCTTTTTTTATTTACTGTTTTATTGTTGCACATTCAGTTGCACACTGGCAGTCTTTTTGCAGTTGTCCTCATGAGCTTTATTAGTTGCACAAATACATCATGATGATTGCTAGTTTTTTTTCATTCTTGTTTTTTCTCTTGTGTTTAATGTTTGTGTAATGCTTTCATTTTCTAATCAACAGGGCAGCGGCGAAGGAGTTGAGGTGGCTCCAGGGGAAGATGTGGAGCGACCATCACAAGCAGGCAGGATAAGGGCATCACCAGCGCGCTTTGCAAATTTCAACGCCTCTCTAACTCCACTACAGAAATCAGAGCTAGTTTCGAGGTCGGTCGGGGGGCTATTGAACTTATCAGACACACTTCCAGCGGACCTCACTAAGTTCCTGGTGCAGTCCTACCAGCCACAGACCTCTGAAATGGTTTTCCCAGGAAGGGGAAGGATCCGTGTTGATGCTGACAGTGTTCAGAGGGTATTTGATCTCCCAAACAAGGGTCCAAAAGTCAGATATTTAGTTGACAAGGATGCCACTAGGAGATTCAGACAGGCTTTCAACATAACTGGAAATTCTCATCCCCAGATCACTACATGGCTCAAGATGATTGAGCATATGGCTGGAAGAACGGATGACACATTTTTTATGGCCTGGCTTGCGGTTGCCTTCAGTACTTTTCTAGCACCAACCACGGCCTTGAAGCTCAGCCCAAAGTGTTATGGACTTGTGCTAGATCATCAAATGCTAAAGAATACAAACATCTGCCTCTTTGTAGCAGAACACATTAACGAAGCTTTCCGGAACATGGACCAGGAGAAGCAAACTGTTTGCTGCTGCTTGTATCACTTGATGGTTAGTGAAAACGACCACTTTTTTCCATCTGTTCTTGTTCTTTCTGTGCAGTTATAGTTTGCTGAAATTCTCATAACAATAACTGAACTTGGCTTTTTCTTTTGTTTGGGTCTGGTGTAGATACTATACCTTGATGCGCTCGTACATGACATCCCAGTAAGCAACTGCGCGATATGATCGAATGCATGGGATAGTACTCTAATTGCCAAGGTGATCAAGAAGGATACTATCTCTCCTGGTGTGTTCGGCAAATTACAAGTGAGTTCTTTTTTGTTTTTTTTCCAACAGTGTCTTCCTTCTATGTTCTTTTGATGTCTGGTCACTCTTTTTGGGAATTGCACAGAAAACTGTCATCAGTTGGCACAACAATGCATGTAGTTGCACAGATTATAGCTTTAAGTTTGGCAATCTGCACACATGTTTATTTTAAATTGGCACACCATCTTTTTT